TGAGTAAGAATTTTTTGGAAGGAATCTTTCCTAATTAACAACCTCTAATTTTTTCCCGTAGTAATATCCTTATTTTTCTAATTAACTACCGAAATAAACTTCCTCCTCAATAACACAATGAATGTGAGTAATGGTCGTCGAACAAAATTCTGGACTGATTGTTGGGTGTTGCAGGTCCCCCTAATCAACTTGGCGGTTGCGGAGATTCCTATGGAGATCAGGGAATGGAGGGTCATCGATCTTTGGGATCCTGATCAGGGGTGGAAAGTGACAGAGTTTGAACACCTCCTCCCTCAGGCAACGGTTGACTCAATCCGCTCAGTCCTAGTTGACCCTATGTCAACGGAGGATGATACCCTCATTTGGAAGGAGTCATCTAATGGCACATTCACCACGAAATCGGCTTACAAATCGATGGACAATCCTGAGCAAGGTTACCCGGATGCCCTATGGAAAAAGATCTGGAGACTCAACACCCCTGAACGTGTTCGGACCTTCATTTGGATTGCGGCTAAGGGCTGTCTGGCAACGAATAGTGTCCGCAAATATCGGCACCTCACGGAGGATGGTAAGTGCTCGCTCTGCAATGAGGTGGAGGAAACTAACCTGCACTGTTTGCGTGATTGCAGGATAGCTCGAACGGTTTGGAACAGACTGATTCCAAGCAACCGGAGACCCACGTTTTTCATAGATGACTATGATGAATGGCTGAGGAGCAACATCCGAGACGACTCAGAGGGTGCCTGGACTGGAGATTGGGGCAGCTTCTTCTCCTTAGTAGCCTGGTACCTGTGGAAGCATAGGAACGAGCATATATTCCAAGGAAAAGTGATGACAACCTCGACTCTCTTCAATTATATCTCAATCAAGGCTAATGAGTGGGCTAGAACTTGGACAACAGCAAGTCTCCAGCTGGATGTGACTCAAATACCTCATCGTGCAGAAGAACTGATTGGCTGGAAGCCCCCAAGGGCTGGATGGATCAAGTTGAATACAGATGGAGCTGCCCAGGGGAACCATGGCCTCATTTCAGCAGGTGGCGCTCTTCGGGATGTCAATGGCGATTGGATTGCAGGGTTCTGCCGTAAAATCGGTACAGGTACGGCAATTGAAGCAGAACTTTGGGGAATCTATAAAGGTATTGATCTTGCTTGGAACAAAGAAATTAAATTCCCGATCATAGAGACTGACTCCCAACTAGCCTTAGATCTGCTGAACAAGAGAATGAACCCGACTCACCCGCTAGCTACTCTCCTGCGAGCCATCCGGAGGCTGATTGCGCAAGAGTGGGTGGTTCAGTTAGTTCACACGTACCGCGAAGGGAATAGAGTCGCGGACTGGCTCTCGAAGCACAGTCTCGTCTATCCCTTCGGGACGTTTGAACTGCTGAATCCCCCACCCGAATTACATAAAATTTTACTGGAAGATCTGAGGGGGATAAGCTTCCCTAGACAGGTGGTCGTTTGATCTTTGCAACTACCTTCCTCGAAGATAACCTCTTGCCTTCTCCTGTAGTGGAAGCTTCTCTGGGCTTTTTGTGATTTGTTTGTGACTACTTCTCTGCTGTCTGTTTCGCTCAACCTTGTTGGCTGATGCCTTCGCTTTCTCCCCTGGTGATCGGCAGTCTTGTTGCCGGCACCTCCCTTCAATAAAAAAAAAAAACAATAGGTTCCCTAATTACACTCAATTTAATATCCTACCCACCTTTAACCTACGGATCACAAAAGGAAGGGTTTTTTCGCGGTAATTAATCTTGTCTAGTTTTTAGCGGTAATTAGGCTTATAAATTTTACCATAAAAAACCTTCCTTATTTAATATAATTAATAATTATTGTTTATGTCAAATATATATGATCACGGTTGAACGCAAATCAATCTTCCTCTTTGATTGTGAATTGACAACATAAACAATCTTTCCTTAATTATCACGTCTAAGCCCATAATAAGTAATATTTTTATTATTAATTATTTTCCTCTTTGATGCTACCAACAGAATAAGGAGGAACATAATTTAATAATTAAACACCTATCTAATAGTATTAGGTGAGTTTAATTTAATCACTTAAAGTAATTCTTTTTAAATTTCTTTGCGTAAAAATAGTTTAATGTATAAATGTGGTGAGGTTGGATTTTAAACATGGAATTAGCTAGATTAATTAATATTTAATCTAATCGGAACAACAATAACAATATGAAAAATGAAAGCATATCTTCCATTTTACACATTCTACCTCTCTCAAACTCTAAACCCTAATTCCAACAAAATATCTAACTTCAAGGTCAATCCATCCAATCTTACTATGACATTATCTTCGAGGTAAAATCGTTTCACAGAGCCCCCAAAAATCTCGGTCAAAATTTTGGCACTATTCATCTTTTTTTGTCCAGGACGTCCAATCGAGAAATTGTCAATTCCACCATGTTCGTATCCACATTTTAGAGGATCAACGAGGATTTCAATACTTTTTAAGTTGATGGCTCTAGTAAATGCGAAAATTGATTTTATTATGTAATATCAAACTTCCCATAGACATTGATTTTATGTTTTATAGTATTTAGATATAGATAAAATGATTATAGTAATTGTAGGGATTTAATTCCTTCCCAAATGCACGTCTCATACTCTCATTAGTCATTATATTCAATTAACTTCCTAATCAATAATTGACGAGATTAATGTTTAAAATTATTCATTGTTAACACACTTATTATATTCCCCTATCTTTCCCCGTAACCCTCAACCGTTATTTGCGGCAAAACAAATCAAATTTAATTATAACGGAGAATTCATTTCCTTAATTAACTCCTTAATTAACTCCTTAATTTTCTATTATATGTTGTGGCAATTGCATTCAGGATTCCTCTTTTTGCCGCTGCTTTCATTTTTTTGCGATGAATGTTTGTTAATTATTAATTATTTATTTAGCAATTAAATAATTGGTTTTTAGGGAAAGTACTTAAGTAATGGTCAAATTTCAGAATTAGTGTTTATAATTATGAATGACTAATTTATTTCCTTAATTAACAACAGAAAAATAATTTCCTTAAATAAAACAAAAACAATTACGGGAACGCGACAGGCGGCGATCGGACCCGTCCGATGGAGGCGAGCGGACCCCCTCCGACGGAGGCGGGCGAACCTCGTTCGACGGGCGGCGATCGGACCCCGTCCGACGGGCGCAAGCTGACCACTAAAAAAAGAAGAAGCCTGGTCTTAAACGGCGAGCTCCTTCCTCGATGGCGGGATGGCGGCGATGATTTCTTTCTCAGAGGGAGTGTCAACAGCAACAGCAACGGCCACCTCTTCAGCAGCTGGCGGCGGGAGGGGAGGCCCCCCGGCGACTTCGAGAGGGAGGAGAGGGAGGTTTCCAGCCGATGGGGATGCGGTATAAGTTTAAAATAAAAGAAGGGTAAAATCGTAATTTTATTTATAACTATGGGCGGCAAATAGTAAAATTTAGAGTGGCAAATAACAACCTAAATTGGTGTCTTCCCTACTCTTTGCCACCATGAGTGGCTAGCTCGCTACTTGTATAGGTTTGTGAGCCCCAAAGGTTCTCAACTGGTGTCTTACCTACTCTTTGTTGCCATGAGTGGCTAGTTCGATACTTGTATATGTTTGTGAACCCTAAAGGTCTAGTGTCTATGATTTATATAATTAAAACCTATGATTCACTCATCAAGAGTTAGGATATAGTATCAAACGCCATAGTCTGGTTCATTTGATATCTAGATATCTTACTGAAGTTACGTAGTATCCTAGATTTTCCAGAAGGTATGATTGAAGGCGCCGTGTGTGTATATATATATGGTAACTACTTCGGTGCACTCACAAAAATGAGTGTGTTCAATGCACCCAACTCAAAAACTAGTCTTATGGTGTCGGATTTTGAATTTTAATTTGTAGAATTAGTGTAATATGATGATATAATATATGATAACGACTAATTAGCCGATTACTCTAAGCCCTAGACCTCCAATTTTGAGTTCTATCCCTAAACCCCAAATTGTAAACCCTAACACTAACCCTAAATCTCTAAACTCTAAATCCTTCAAATCAAAGTAAATTTTTAATGATTTTTGTGCAAATTCATGTGCGTTATTGTTCATCACATCATAAGTGATGATTGACATCATTTTGACATAGTCGCATGTTTAAAATCACGATTATGCTGTGAGTGCCCTGAATGCACCCAAAAAAATGAGTGCACCGAAAACACCACCATATATATATGGCAAAGGCTAGCGTACTTGTAATTAAATAATTATAAATGGTAATTATAATTTCAACTGCGCCCATTAATTAATTTTTGTACATTTTAGTCACTCAATCTTTTTTATCCTGTGCAAAAATCATTCATCTAAATAATCATTGTATAGTATGTAACTAATTCTCCCAATCTGGAGTTTAAACACTCAAATTACTTTTACCCCCATCCCATCCATCGTCCCTGCTAATTATCCTTTGTCTTTTTCGATCTCCTTTAACCTCCATTACCCACTAACTTCTAATCTTTGTTTACCCTTGTTAAATCCTCCTTCTCAATTCCTTTGCCTTCCTCCAGAATGCCGCACAACGGAGAAAACCTTAACGTCCCCTTTGAATGCCATCACTTTGGTTACGCGAGAAACCTTTAACCTCTACCTTCCTCAATTTCTTCAAACCTGATAGCTCATCCGCAGCCAGTCTTTCCAAAGATGCATGAGCAATTATACAGATGCAATTGTTCCAAGGATGGTGTCGTTGAAACAATTAAAATTGTTATCCGCACTGATGCTCCAAATATGCGGGAGATTGAGGGCCTTGCTTGTTTGCAATCCTTGGAACAGTTGAATGATTGCATTTGTATAATTTCACATCTCCAAATAAAATCTTCATGTGCATTGAAGAAAAATGTTAGAGGTCTGCAACAGTTATAATTCGGAGGGGTAAATGACAAGGCAAGAGTAGATTTCATAAGCAAATAGGGAGAGTAGATTTCATCAGAAATAATATCGGTATGAACCCTCTAAGTCTTCAGTCGCCGGCGGCGCCCGTGTCCCCTCATGGATGGCCGCCGGACCCTATAACAACCGGGGAGCAGCCTTTAGCTCCACCGCTAGAAGGGGATAAGGAGGGGGTTTTGCCCCAGAAGGACCCCAATGGGATGGAGATGCACGTTGACTCAATCGCACCCGCTGGTTCTCCCTCCGGGAATCTGAACGAGACTGCGCCGAACGAGTCCGCTAAAAGTTCCTCTCCAGCTCCCTTTCTCGCGTCGTACGCCGGTGTGGTGGCCGGCGGGAGCAGCTCACCCGGAGCGCCGATAAATCAATGGATACCCGTCGGAGAGCGCGATCTAATTCCGGGAACTTTCAACGGTGAGCCGGAGCTGACCATTTCGGACGGTTTCAGGGCCAGACTTAGCGCTCCATGGCAGAGAACGCTGGTAGTCCGTTTGCTGGGGCGGTCTATTGGTTATGCTTTTCTGTGCAATCGTCTCAGGGCATTGTGGCGTCCGACTGGCTCTATGGACGTCCATGCTCTTGATCAGGACTTCTTTCTCGTCAAACTCGGGAATGATCAGGATTACTACAAGGCTCTGACGGATGGTCCGTGGACTATCTTTGATCACTATCTCATTGTCCAACAATGGTCTCCATCTTTTCGGGTTTATGACAAGCTTCCAAGTACTATGGTGGTTTGGATTCAACTCCCGGGGTTTCCAGTTCACTTCTACCACAAGGACATTTTGTTCTCGATTGGCAACATGATCGGCAGATCGATTAAACTGGACTACCACACTCAGAATCAACAAAGAACTAAGTTTGCCCGGGTGGCGGTTGAAGTCGATCTAACCAAGCCTTTGGTGCCCCGGGTTCGTCTTGATGGTAAGTGGCAGAAAGTCGAATTTGAGAACCTTCCGACTGTGTGTTTTGAGTGCGGAATGGTGGGGCACACTAAAGTTACTTGCCCAAAGATCCGACAGCAGCTGGTCGTCGCCACACAAGGTGATGGCAACCCTCCGGTGGTTGACGCCGGCGATTCTGAGACACCGGAGGTGAATGGCGGGTTCGGGCCTTGGATGCTAGTTACGCGGAAGTCCAGGCGGAATCAGCGGGAATTACCCACTCGGGATACTCCTGCTTTGACCAACGATGCCGTTCACGGGAATCACAAGTTGCAGATGGGGAATGTAGCAGCAACAAAGGATATTGCGGAAGGAAACTTTCCTCACCAAGAGACATCCAAATCTCGACATCCTCCGAAGAACCAGATTCAGAGCAAATCACTAGGGAACAAAGAAGGGGATTCGGTGAGGAGAGAAAAGGAAGGGAATGGCTCCAAAAAGGGAAAGGAGAAGGTGCATAATAATTTTTCTGTTGGTGGGAATGGGATTCTGGGCCCAAGCCCATCTGGCCTTAAGTCTCCAAGCATGAAGTCCACGGCTGGAAAGGATAAGGAGGAAGCCTCCTCTTCTAGGGGACAGGGGGATGGGCTCGATGGTCGCCTGTTGGGCCTCCAAAATCTGAAGCTGAATGTGGAGGGCCCAATGGCAGTTCCAGCCCAAGTTCTGAATGGCCAAAACGGCACAAAAATGCAGATTGTGGAAGCCTCCATTTACCCGTCCTCGTCAGCGAGAAAAGAGAACCCGGATGCCCCCTCGGCGAGCGCTCGGACCAAACAACGAAAGAAAATCAGCAACGAAGAGCGCCGGGGGAATCGTGCTTCCCCATCCAAAGCAATGAGTGGGCGGAAAATTTCCTCTAAAGCGTTGCAAATCTGGACACCCAAGAAGGAGAAGAAATCCAAACCCAGAGAGAGGAGGGTCTCGGTAACCCTCCAACAGATCGAAGAATGGACCGCGGCAGCAGGAATTAGAGAGGGGATAAACGGGGGCCAATCGTCTTCTGTCCTTCAAGGCGATGATGGAAGGGAAACGAGAGCCAGCTCGGAGACCCCGCCCCCTGCCTAACCTGTGTCCTTTTGCTCTCGGAATCTCCTGCGTTTCTTCTTTCCTCCTCTGTTTCTTCCCATTTTTATTCATGTCGATGTCCTTTACTATGTTTGAGTCTTTTAAAATATTTTCTTGGAATGTAGGGGGAGCTGGAGGGAAAGCTTTTGCTCGCTCTCTGAAGCTCGCTCTTCAGCTTCACAAACCTGATTTTGTTGTTTTGTTGGAACCGCAGGTCAGTGGTGAGGTGGCCAACAAGGTTTGTGATAAGATGGGTTTTTCTGATGTTGCTAGGGTCGAAGCGAATGGGAGGAGTGGGGGAGTCTGGATTTTTTGGAATGGCGGCTCCTTCACAGTCCACATTTCTTCTGCCGGCCCCCAGCACCTTTCTCTCATGGTGGGAAAGCCTAACTGTCCGAATTGGCTTTTGACAGCGGTCTATGCTTCTCCGCGGCAGTGTGAGCAGAAGCTGCTATGGAATTTCTTGATCAATCAGAGCAAGGAGGTTGCCTGCCCTTGGATACTAACTGGAGACTTCAATGCAATCTTGACGCCTGAAGAAAAGTTTGGAGCTCCCTCTGTAGCTACTCTTCGGCGCTGCCGAAGGTTCAGTGAGTGGATCAATTCGGCTGAGCTGGTGGATTTGGGCTTTTCTGGCCCGGTTTTTACCTGGTCTAGAGGACGCGATACCTCCTCTTTTAGAGCTAGCCGCCTCGACCGGTCGATCTGCAACCTGGCCTGGAATGAGGCTTTCCCCAGCACGACTGTTACTCACCTTCCACGATTGAGCTCAGATCACAATCCAGTTTTGACTACGGTTTCACCTCAGGGAGTCCCTCCCCATCTTCCGAAAAAGTTTAAGTTTGAGGCCGCTTGGCTTACCCATAATGATTTCCAGGAGTTGCTAACGTCCTCTTGGAATTCGCAGGTGGCCCTCCCCCAAGCTCTTCAGGATTTCGCCCACAAACTTCAGGAGTGGAATGCGTCAGTCTTTGGGAACATTCACTATAGGAAGAAGAGACTGCTGGCAAGGATTGGGGGTATTGAGAGGAGGCTTGCGGCTGGTTTTTGCCCGGGCTTGGCGAAGCTTCATTCTAAGCTGGGGGCCGAGCTGGATAAAACCCTCGAACAGGAAGAACTTCTCTGGTTTCAGAGAGCTAGAGAGAAGTGGGTCAAGTTCGGGGAGCGCAACACCGCCTACTTTCACCAAATTGCCAATATTAGGAGGCGGGCTAACAAGATCGCATGTCTGAAGAATGATAATGGTGATTGGATTCATGATATGCAGGAGTTGAAAGATCTGGTTTTTAACTTCTACTTGGATCTTTATACACAGGGAGGGGATCAGTACATCGATCGCATGCCCAAGGGAGCTTTTCCGAGGCCTAACCAGGCAGAGTGGCTTGCGTTGCTACGTCCTTTCACCATCATGGATATCCACAGGGCGATTTTTGACATGAAGCCGCTGCAAGCTCCGGGCCCTGATGGCTTCCAAGCGATCTTCTATCAAAAATCATGGAGTGTTGTTGGGAAAGCTTTGACAGACATAAAGATATCATTCTTTGAAAATGGGTCTCTCCCGGAGGAGGTTTCCTCTTCTACAGTTGTGCTCATTCCAAAGGTGGAGAATCCTGAGACCGTTAACCAGTTGCGCCCTATTTCCCTTAATAACGTCAGTCTCAAGGCGATTACGAAGGCCATGACTAGCAGGCTGAAGCCGCTTATGAAGAGCTTGATTTCCCCTCGCCAGAGCAGTTTCATCCCCGGAAGGCAGACGTCGGACAATATTCTCATTGTGCAGGAAGTGCTACATTCTCTCAGGAAGAGGAAAGGAAAGAAAGGGGGGATTGTAGTGAAGATTGATCTTGAGAAGGCCTACGACAGACTGCGCTGGGATTTTCTCAGAGACACTCTGATTGAAGTAGGCCTCCCAAGCTCCTGGATACACTGCATTATGTACTGTGTGGAGCATAATCATATGCGTATTCTTTGGAATGGGGAGCTTTCGCACCCTATCACTCCATCCCGCGGAGTTCGCCAGGGAGATCCCCTTTCACCCTATCTGTTTGTTCTTTGTATTGAAAGGTTATCTCATAGAATTGATCAGGCAGTCCGGGACAAGGCTTGGAAGCCTGTCAAACTCTCGGGGACTGGTCCGGCTCTCACTCATCTATTTTTTGCAGACGATCTCATTCTCTTCGCGGAGGCAGAAAGATCACAAGTGCGGATCATCAAGCAATGCCTGGAGGATTTTTGTGAGAGTTCGGGCCAGCGGGTCAACTTCAGCAAGTCCTCCATGTATGTGTCGCCAAATGTTAGGGAGGAGACTGCGCAGGTGTTAAGCTCCAGAGCCTCGATTCCGCTTACTAAAGATCTGGGGAAGTATCTAGGGATCCATACCATTCATGGGAGGGTCACTAGGAATCGATACCAGAGTCTAATTCTGAGAATCAAGAAAAAGTTGGCGCCTTGGAAGGCGCGCCGCTTGTCCTTGGCAGCGAGACTCACTGTGGTTCGATCTGTATCGTCATCCATCCCTACCTACTCTATGCACACTGAACAATTACCTGTTAATGTTTGCAACTCTATTGATAAGATTAACAGGAACTTTGTCTGGGGCGAAGAGGAGGACCAAGGGAGGATGCACCTGGTAGCTTGGGAGAAGCTTTTGGAGCCAAAGGGGCAAGGAGGAGCGGGGCTTCGGTCCTTAAGACAGGCGAATCTCTCCCTCCTAGCTAAGACGGGCTGGCGCTTCCTGACGGAGAAAGACAACCTTTGGGTGCGAATTATGGAGGACAAATACGGGAGGAAGCGGAAGGGCATTGAGATGCTTCGGTCGAGTCAGGGAAGTTCTTTTGCTTGGAGAAGCATGACTAAAGCTTCTGATTTGTTAAAAAAGGGTCTTGCTTGGAATATTCACAACGGGAAGAACACTAATTTCTGGAAGGATGTGTGGTGTTTGCAGGTTCCCCTGATGAATGTTGCAGTGCAGCCCTTGCCGGAGGAGATGCTGGCGGATTCGGTGGCGGATTATGTGGACGAAGATGGATGCTGGGATGTGGACCGTTTGAAGGACTGGCTAACGGAGGATGCCCTGAACAAAGTCACGGCGGTGGCGGTTGATCCGCTCTCGACCACTGATGACGCTCTCTTCTGGTCGGCCTCTGAAAATGGCCGATTCACTGCTAAATCGGCGTATCTCATGGCGTACCCCGGACAGACGGGGCACAATGAGAGTCTGTGGAAGAAGATTTGGCGGCTTCACGTCCCGGAAAGAGTCTGTTGTTTTACCTGGTTGGTGGCCTTGCGGAAGATTGCGACTAATGTGCTTCGTTTCACCAGGAAGTGTGCGGATTCCCCAGATTGTCACAGATGTACTGGCACCCCGGAGACTGTCCTTCACATTCTCCGGGATTGTCCGCCGGCTGCGTATTTCTGGTATAGACAGGTTCCTCAGGCAGAGCATCACGATTTCTTCTCGGCCTCAGTTGAGGATTGGATAAGAAGCAATGTTAACAGGGAGGAGGAGATGGAGTCAGGTATGGCATGGAATGAGTTTTTTGCATCTGCTATTTGGTTATTGTGGAAGAACAGGTGCACAGCCTGCTTCAAAGGCATTGGAGCGGCTTTGACTGCCCCCTCTCTGGCGAATTCTATCCTTCATAGAGCTTCTCTCTGGCACACGGCGTGGGTCTCAGGCAGCGCGGTTCAGCTCCAAGGCTCCCCTGCGGTTCATAGGGTGCTGGCGGACATCAGGTGGGTGGCCCCCCCCGGCGGATGGATGAAGCTGAACGTGGATGGGGCGTCGGCCGGGAATCCAGGGCAGGCTGGTGCGGGAGGGCTAATTCGGGATGAGCAAGGCAGATGGCAGGTTGGGTTTGTGGCAATGATTGGGGAGGCGACCGCTGCCTTGGCCGAGTTGTGGGCTCTGTTCCATGGGCTGAATCTCGCTTGGAAGTACAGGTGCACCAACCTCTTGATTGAGACGGACTCTCAATTGGTGGTCCAGTGGCTGAAGAACAGAAGTGACCCTCTCCATCCTCATGCCTCTCTGCTGGCCTCCATCAGGAGACGCACGGCGCAAGACTGGCTGGTTAGCATATCTCATACATACCGGGAAGGGAATAGAGCCGCGGACTGGCTCTCGAAGCACAGTCTCGTCTATCCCTATGGTATGCATGAGCTTGTTAATCCGCCTACGGGTATCGGAAGCATTCTTCAGGACGATATGAGAGGAATTTCTTTTGAGCGGAGGGTACTAGCTACCCGGTCTTTGTATTTCTGTTCCCCTTGTACCCCTTCTTGGCGCTAGCCTCCTTTTACGCAAAAAAAAAAAAAATGACAAGGCAAGAAGAGATTATTATGTCCAGCAACAGAATCGAAGTAAAGCAAGCAGAAGAGGCCCTCATCGACGAGTTCATTAATAATTCTGAACTTTGAACCATGGAATAGTTAGCGTTGAGGTTAAATTTCTCAACGGTGTTAAAATACTCTGTGTCCCGTTTGTATTATGCATTTCAATATCCAATTATTTTGTTGTTGCGTGCGTGCTCTATTTTGTATCAAAGTCTGCAACGGAGTTTGACTAAGAGGTGTAAAGGATAAGGATATCCAATTGAATCATCAAACGGCTTCTGCAGTTCTAAAATCTAGTAAGAGTGAATTGGTTTAATTTTTTAAGTTTCTGGTTTTGTGTGCTGTGTTTGAACTGTTAATTTGTGTCACCGCTCTTTTCCTTGCAGAAAAATATGCAGGAGAGGTTAGATCGGAACACAGCAACAGGGAAGACTGTGGTGTGCTTTGGTTTTAATGGGTTCCTGATTTTGGATTGTACTTATGACAAACACAAATAAGTGGGATGTATTTTTTATACGAAATAAGTGGTGTTTTGATTAAATGGATGTGATTGTAATTTTTGTTTTTCTATATGCTTTGGGATTAAATCATATGGAAAGATAAATTAATGGATGCGATTGTAATTTGTCATTTTAAAATAATTAATATAATTATAATTAATTTTTGAGTGTGAACACAGGCATATAGTGTACGCCTGTCGTACGCTAGCCTGAGCTATATATATATATATATATTGTTGAATGTAAAATTATGTGTTTTAGGAGAGAACAAAACACACAAAATAAAAATCCTACATTCAATCCACACATACTATATTTTAGTTACTCGACATTTCAATGACTTGTTTTATAAACTGAGAGTATGTGACCGATCCTTGTCAATTCACATGCGTCCTTTTTAGTTTTATCATCATTGATTATATAGCTTCCATTCAGTGTAGTCAATTGTCATGTTTTGATTCGTTGTTAGTTGTTTGATATTTAAGTTTCGTGGGAACGGCTACGGTGCTAATTGTACAATAGTTAGCACCGTCCTAACCAAGGGAAAAACTACTACTAGTTTGAATTAGTAGTGATTTAGCTTAGATGTTGTATTCATTTTATAATAATCCGTAGTGATTTCGTTATTTTTAGTAGCGTTTTTTGCTAGTTATCACGGTGCTAACCCCTATAAGAGTTAGCACCTAATCTCATCCCAAGTTTCGTTAATTAATCTATGTTAATATTGATCGATGTATAAATAGTTTTTCATACTGAAATGCAAAGAAAAGCATTTTCTTCAAATAATAAAATAATCTCAACCGGCAAAGCATTAACCATAGGGTGAAGGAACGTTAACTTATAGACATAATGATCTAATAATTAGGCAGTTAAATATTTATCACTTTTATATATGGCAATGAGCAGAAAACAAAAAATTACAGTGTCCCAACTAGTTGCAAGATATAACATATAATGACAAAAGTTCAAATGTAAATATGTATGTATCCCTTTAAACTATGTACCAAGAGTACATAATAAGAGAAAATTTTATGGGAAACCAAAAAAATGAACATACAAATATATCCCTTTTATGCAAAGTTAATATGTTTTGGTGAGGAAAACACATAAATGAAGATTTTGTTTTTTTTTTCTTTTTTTTGTTTTCTTTTCTTTTGCTGATAAAATAAGTTCATAAATATCAGCCTCTTCCTCTTTGTTGTCCTTTTTTTTTAATTAATGAATTTACTTACCTAAATTTTTCTATTTACTATTTGGGGTAGTAAGAATTGAGTTTGAGAGAATAATTCATATGAGGTATATATGCGAAATTACAACAAAAGGAAGCGTATTTGTTGATTTGGATTGTTTTAATGTTGTGACTTCATCAAATTGATCTTTTTCTCCCAAGTGTAACATCATTCCTTGTCTTGCTCATCATTTGTCTCTAGTGGAGGTGTTGTGCTTGCAGCAGTCATCAAACTATCAAACTTCTCAGATTTTCCCAACACAATTTCAATCTGCAATGAAGTCAAAAAAATTGAAGACTTATTAAAGATATTAAAATTATAGACCAGCACAAAAATTGTCCCTCAAAAAGGAGAAAAATTGGAATGAAGCAAGAATTGCATGAGATAGATAAAAGAATGTAGAAAACATACCTTTGCCTTTTGAACAAGGCGGCCTTTGTTCTCATCTTGCATACCTACTGTGGATGTCAAAACCTCTGCCATTGTATCATAAAACATATAATGAGTCTATTAATATATGCATTTGTATATATTTACATAGCTGGAACAAGTCGATGATAGGTCATGTGACTGAATATCTTACTTTTCTCAGTTGCCAAGCCATTGTTCTTCAATATCTCAGCAATTGTGACTACTGTGGTGATTGCTGTAATTTTCAAATAAAGGAAAAATATGACAAACTACATTACTTGATGTTGTCTTAAGCAAAATGATTAGATTGTATAATGCTTATTCAAAGAACATACACTTTTATGGTTGACATGGAGATTGAGGAAACAATTCCTATAAGTGTTGGTAAGAGAATACTAAATTCAAATTTCACAAAATATTTGAATGAGACTCTAATTCACGTCATCTTGATGCAATTTTATCTGGCGAACAAAATTTATTACGATCTAAGCTTATAATGTCAATCATAAAAATACATCTTTGATAAACCAATGGCCTATATGTACCATTTGAATTTAATTAAGCATTTCAATTTTAGGCAAAAGTTATGGAGGGAAGAAGTGGAGAAGAAAGATCATGTAGTGTTGAGAAGTTGGTGAAAGAAATATACGTACCCATGCCAAGGGCAGAAAGCTCTACCTCATTGTGTTGTTGAATGTACCTCTGGGAATATCAAATTGGAGACAAATATTAGAAAAACGATAAACTTTAGTATTTTCCATTACATTAGTTCCTTATTTTTTATTAGCGTAGAAAATGAAAAGAAGCGTGTGATCTTTTACCTTGGCAAGATTAACATAGAAGAAGAGAGGCTTCTTAGTATTGGAAACTTGAATTCGGTTCTTCTTTTGATGTTGTTGAGCTTGCTGAGCCTTGCTCATCTCAACACCATTGATGTCTTCACCTGTTTGAGCCGCAACGGAAATCGGAGTTGTTGTTACTGTCTCCATTGTCATACTTTGATGGATATATTGTTGGAATTCAGCCTCTTCTTCTTTCCCTTTGTTGTTTTAATTATAGGAACTTTGTGTTGATCAATTTGCTTTTCTTTTCTCTTTCTGTGTTTATTTTCACTTTGTTTTATTCTAGTATTATAGAGAAAGTTGGGACAAACTTTTTTCTTCTGGTTGCGTTATTCTACAATTTAGAAAGTGGGAATGGGGGTTGTGGGGATGGTTTTAATTCGTTGATGAGTCTCATAATTGTAGAGGAAACCGTTACTAGTGAATGATCCTCAACATAGAGATTAAGTAGGCGTGATTAGTGCAGTGATCACCCACTATCTTGACGAGTGTTGAAATGTTATTGGCTTGTTGACGTTGTAAAAGGGAGAAATACATGGTGGTATTGAATCTCATTGGTAAAGAAGAGGAAAGTAAACCATGAAAATTGAAATCGGTTATTCATTTTTCTTCCCTAAGTTTGACCACCAAAAAGAAACATAATGTTTCTAAATGGTCATGGTCATAACTCATAAGGTCTAAGTATGGTGTATAATCCATTGTGTTTTTATTATTATTTTTTATTACAAATGAGATGGACTCATTATATCTACAAAATCATATTCATTTTTATATATTTGGGGAATTTTTTTTATCACCCATTACCACGCGTTACCACTATGCTACCATATGGCACTGATGATCGCAATATAGTGCAATGTAAGTAATAAAATCCTACAAAAACTAGGGTCAAATTTCATGAGATCTTGTGATGGTGATTACTCAAGCCTAACAAATTATGTTCTAATCACAATGCAAAGGAAAGTAAATAAAGTGGGTTGGGGTGCCCTAATTCAAGATTCTTATCTACTATTGCAAACAAAGAAATCTAAGTAATGCAAGAAATAAAAACTAATGTTTAGGTAGTGTTTTCTAGTTGATCATGCATACAATCTCCTCAACAAGATGCATTTATGCATCATCTATGATGCTATCCTATCCCTTCCACTAAGGCCCAATAGGAACTTGACTAGCTAATTTGTGCTTTTGCTTCATGTCGTCACTAATCATTGAAGAACAAGGAAGTTAGAATAGCATATGGTTAAGTATGTCCCTCTTGAGCCACAACTCGTAGCCTATAGCATCAATGATCTAAAAATCAAAAAATTAATAATAGTATTCGCTCTATCAATCTGACCTGTAAGCGGCCTGCATTCGAATTTGACTAAAAGTTAAATACTTGGAAGCCGACCTTCCGGTAATTTGATCAATCTATAATGCAATCGACCCGCAATCTGGTCGACCCATGATCTGATCGACTCATGACTTGAACAAACCTCTGACGACTAACCCAATCCAAACTTGCTCGTTTGACCCGAATATACATGTAATACATATATAATTGTTCCGTAAGAGGAGGATTTCGATGGATTTTTATGCTAAAAAATACCAAACTATGTTGGAATGTGTTCTTTCCGTTTTATTAGTTATTTTGGTCTTAGCATATTTTAGTACAAATTATAAGAGGAGTTATGATAAATAAATAAATAGCAAAAAAAAAATTATATCTCGATAACTCCTATATGTACGGTAGACGATAATATTATAATAAAATTTTAAGAGAAGAAAAAGTTGGCATAAGTTTATAAATTTACCAAAGGTTTATAGCTTTATAAAGCAAGACAAAGTGGATATAGTATATTTGAGAACCTATCAGGAGTCATCTTATCCCAATGACGTCACTTGAATTATCTCAAATTTAGGTCATTTACATTAAAGAACATATACTTAATTACTTACCAGTTTAACGGTCACAATATTTATTAATGATGGTTTAAGAGTTTAACATTTATTAACTAAGATATTATCTATAATAAACTTTAGGGTGTGCCTACGGTGACATGCATGTCACGGTGACTTGCACTTTCCGGTTGACCTCAGTTAGGATTAGGTCGACCTCATTTAGAATTCGGTCGACCTCATTTAGGATATGGTCGACCTCATTTAGGATCAGGTCGACCTAATCTGTTGTTTCATTGTAAAAACAGTTCATGGTTCCTACTTTGGATATTCATATAATACAATTGGCTAGATGGAAATTGAAGACTAATGACTTGTTTTGAAGCTGGAGTGTCCCTCTACATGTTGAAGTGGAAGAGAGCTCGATAGGAAGTCCAGAAGACCATTTTTGAACCTCATCAAAAGGCTATGCCAAAACTGAGAAACTGCATGGAAATGACTAAGTCTGGAAACGTGTTTGTGAAGCCTATTTTGGAGCTCAATTCGAGAAGCATGAATGAGAGTCGAGCCCAGGAGCCTCTACCACGTTAAATTAGGTATGTTTTTATACAAATTCAAGGCATTGGATGAAAGATTGGATATCTGTAAGGCTTCAAACAAAAGGGTCGAAGTTGCTACGAAGGCTATTTTTCTGGCAGACTTCGAGCACAAGCAAGCTGCCAGAAAAACAGCCTTTGTAGCAACTTCGAGCCTTTTGTTTGAAGCCTTAAAGATATTCAATCTTTCATCCAATGCCTTGCCTTTGTATAATAAAATACATAATTTAACGTGGTAGAGGCCCCTGGACTTGACTCGCATCCATGCTTCTCAAATTGAGCTCCAAAGTAGGCTTGACAAACACGTTGCCAGACTTAGCCATTTTCAGGCAGTTTCCCAGTTTTGGCATAGCCTTTTGGTCAGGTTCAAAAATGGTCTTCTGGACTTTCTATTGATTTTTAGCTTGTTGTTTATCATACTTTGGCCAATTTTATGCCAGGTTGCGTTCTTTTATCACATTTCATGTCCTAGCATATCAACTGAGCATAAGCGCAAGTTTCAAGTCAATCGGAAATCAATTGGCGACTCGGGGGAAAAAACTCGGGCATGACCCGAGGAAGAATGGATTTTGAGGGCAATTTTGGAGCCTTGAAAGCCCGAGGAATTAACCCGGACTTGAAAACCGAACATTTGAAGATTCTTACTGTAGTCTCTCTCCTATATAGAGTAACTTCCATTCACTTAGGTTTTGAGGAACCCTAGCTATGTTTGTTTGATTGGATGATTGTATGATTACTTCTACTTGATAACCTTGAGTTCATATTCAATTTATGCATGATTTTATGATTCAATTATGCTTTAGTCGAGATTATTGATTCTACTTTGATCCTATGAGAGTGAATACCTGATTAGGTCAATAGAGCTCCAAAGATTGATAAAACTGGATCGATTGCTATAGTCGAGGGTCGATTCACTGCTTTTTATCGATTGAGAACCTCATTTGATAGAGGGAATCTAGTTCAGAAGGCCTTGATCGGTTGTTCTAGAGAAGGATACGTCCCTCTAGGCAATTGACTCAGGAGGGCCTTGACTTCTTTAGTCGATATTCAATGTCTAGTCAAGGATTCTCCACATTTTGAATGAACGTTAAACAAGTTAAAGATCATCAATCTGGCTAGTGGCTGGGGGAATCATACCTGAGTGAGTTCTCAACTTGTAATTAGTAGTTTAACCTAGAGTAGCTTGTAGGAATAGTTTAGTTAATCGAACCTTAATCTGGTTTGTTAGATAATGAACTGAAACTGAGGAATAGTAACTCTAGAGACCCATAGATTCGATATTTATTACTTGTGCCACTATAATGTAGTTCTTTTCATTGGTTACACTTGGTCATCGTTAGGGGTTGTGTTTTAGCGAGTCAAGTTTTTGGTGCCATTGCCAGAGACTTTCTAGATTATTAGGAAAGGTAGAAGTTTGTTAATTTAGCTTTTGTTTTTCTTTTCCACCCTTGCTTTTCACTTAGGTGTTTTGTTTCTGTTGGTGCATATCTGAAACATGGATCCTCATGGCTTCTCCAACCATTCGGGATATCCACCACTAGGGATGGCAACTTTGCCCATGTCCATGGGTTTCTTACTATCCAACCCAATTGGGTTGGGTATAAAATCGAAATAGATGGATATGGGTAGAGTTTGATGGGTTTGTACACATACCCATTTACTTTGGGTTGAGTTGGGTTTATATCAAATGGATTTGAGTTTGTACCCATTCCCAAATACAAATTATAGTTTGGTACCCAAACTTAATAGATATGCATATTTAGTACCTTAATTTAATTTTTTTTTGCATATAAGTCCTCAAAATATTGATGGAAAATTACGTTATGGTACCTAAATTTTTTTGGTCTTACATTTTGATACCTAAACTTTTCAAGTTTTACAAATAGGTCCAATTTTTGCATGTGTAGTTAAAACTAGGGCTGGCGGACGGTTTTCCGGTTAGCGGCTAACCGGATGGTTTCAACCGAACCGTCCGGTTTTCGGCTAGCCGAAAAACCGATCCCAATGGCGTCGGTCGGTCGTCGGTAGCGAGGGAAGAAGGCTCGGCTAGCCGACCAACCGAGGTTGAAAACCGGCGGTTAGCCGACTAACCGAGCCTTTACCCAGCCTAACCTAAACGACTCGGCCCCCTTCTCAAAACGACCCCCTCAAAACGACCCCCTCTCTAGTCCCTCCCCAAACCCTAGACGATTCACCACTCACCCGACCCTCTTCTCTTCCGTCATCCTCTCTTCTCTTCCGTCATCCTCTCTCTCTTCTCTTCCCTTTCACCTCTCAAAATGGTAACGCAGAAGAAGAACTTGAAAACCCAGAAGAAGAAGAAAGAAGAAAGAAGAAAGAAGAAAAAGATGATCAGCAGAGCAGATTTCTCCCTCACGACCACCGCCGCCCTCCTTCTCCCTCACGACTCACGACTAGGGCTGCAAATGAGCCAAGCCGCTCGCGAGCAACTCGGCGTTCGAATCGGGAAAAACTCGTTCGACACTCGACTCGTTATTTAACAAGCCGGCTCGCGAGCCAACTCGTTAGTTAACGAGCCAAGCCTGAGCTAGACCATGCTCAGCTTGATAAGCTCGCGAGCTAGCTTGATTCGGTGGCTTGTCGAGCTAAGCTCGCGAGCTGCCTTGTTTTGAGCTTGTGGAAGGATGAATTACTCTTTTAAACATGAACATTGTCTTATAATACAGATGTGTATGAAATTTATATGTTATTTCTAGTTTCTAGTGTTCTTTCTACCATTTAAATTCTTATGTTTATACATTTTTCCAGCAAAAATGATTTTAAATCGAGCTCATCTTGAGCCGAGCTTGTACTCAGCTTAACAAGCTATGTTAATGAGCATTTATCGAGCTCTAC